GTCGTTTTTTAATAATCGGGGATCCAAAAAGCGTCCCGGCGCTACTGTGAGGACATTTCTTTTTGGGAAAAATAGCCTCCAGCAGACTCTTCTTGCCATCGTCGCTCTTTTTGACTTTGATTGCGTTGCCGCGATCCCGTCTACGGCGCGGCGTGCGTAAGCCCATTAAATCATCGATGCGAGGCGCTGTATCAGCAGAGGTAGGAGGATGAAATTGAGACATGCTGAGAGCCTTTGCCGAGCCGCAGCTCGCTGCGCGGAAGGAATCGAAGAGTGCGGCTGAAATCGATACGTTTTACGACCAGCATCGATACCGGTTTACAGTATACATAGATTTCATCTGGTGTTATAATTCATCATTTCCTCTTATCCGCACTGAGGTACTGAGTAACGCCATGTTTCTCCAGTGGGTCTCCAAGTGCGAGCTAGTGCCGGTCTCTGCTGACTCTTACGTACTAAAGGTACAATCTTCATAACATCACGCAAAACAATCTTCTTACCTTACTGATCTCATTACAGAAATTCTCGGACAAATGTCAGCGCGGTATGTGCTCGATGGTTGTAGGCTATCTTACCGAAGAGAACGTGAATCTTCAGGCAGTCCTTCCGAGTGGCCATCATATTCGATGGGCCATGGAAGTGCTCGGTCACTCCTTTGCGCTACCGATGGAGGACTCAGAGGTCATTGCAGGCTCGCTGAACATTTATCAGCGCTGGCTTGGGGTGGACCTTGACTCTTTAGCTGCTAAAGGTCAAAAGGGCAGTAAAGATCATAGGCCCCCCTGCATGCAAAAGGTCGAACAGACCTTTATTCAAGACATGCTGGGCCAGATGACGTTGCTCTTTGAAGAGCGTTCCAGTAATGGCAGCCCAAGCGGGAGTGTCGAGAACAACCTGGCTAAACATGTGGTTTTATGCACGAAGTCAGAGCTTCATTGTTGTTCTTTAGATGCGTACTAATCGTTGTTTATTGTTGTGTTCATGATCTACGGACAGAGTTTTAAATACATTTGATGCACTTACAAAACAGCGCGGCGCTCAATTGTCGAACTCGACGTGGGATCGGTTAATCCGCTTAGTACTCGGGGCAGCAGACGGACTGCTTCATAATCTACGCAATCAATTGGGCCACCTATTATGTGGCCAACTTGTAAGAGTCTTGATGGAACTATATCTTCGTTCGCTACCTCAGTGCGGACCTAGGGGCGAGTTGTGGAGTCTCCTGCAGAAATTCTGTCGACGGTGGATTCACCGTCCGTTGGTAATTGAGCAGTGGAATGCTATCACTCTTGGCCTCACGCAGAGCCTGATGAAGCAAATTTACGATCGGGACGCATCAAAAGAAATTGAAGTCTTATGGGCCGATACCCGGCAGCCGTCCAGGTTTGAATTGGAGAGTCCAATGCTTGCCTACGCGTGGTACCGCCTACTTCGCGTGATTGGCCACCCTTCTGCGATTTTTGACCCGGACGTTTATCTTGCTGCTGTGAAAGGAGTGAGTCGTCTTGCTGATGAGTTTGCATGCATCGAAAAGTTGCCACGTGTCCAGTGGGAGCACGTATTAGGTGCGCTTAATCAAGCCCCGAACCGCAACAGTCCGGTATTCAAAGGAGTCCATAATGGAGATAATGACGCGTCAAAAGACCTGTCAACAGCCACTCTATCAAGGATTCCTGATCAACCACGAGCACCACCCGATGTCAACACTATTTTGCGCTTGCTTGGCCCTTGGCTGTTTGACGCGTGCTTGACTCGCAAGCCACGCTTTGCAGCAGGTCGTAGCGAGGCTCTTCGTTGCCTTGGAAAGCTCCTGTGTCATTATTCTCATGGTCGCTCCAAACGTGTGCATTGGGCCTACAGCGTTCGCAGCCTCATGGCGTTGCAAAATGCGCTGCTTGATGACGACGAACGGATCGCTGCTTCAGCAGTGTACAGTTGGTCCAAAGTATTTTGTTTATTCGGTTCCCAGACACTTCGTGGTGCAGGCGTTGTTGCGGGGCCATTTCACAAGGCAATAGAGCGAGTGTTCCGTGCTGTGGATCATAAAGATACATCATCGGCTTTAAGTACAAAATCAGACGGGCGACGTGGAGGTGATACGTTTTTTGCTCAGGATGATCAACACGTGGGTGGCATCCCAATAGTTCTGCTTCGTCGAGCAAGCATTGAGGCCTGCAGCTCTCTGCTTACGATCCACTCCCACATTCCACGTAAATTAATTAAAGAGGCAGAAAAGGAAATTGTTGCCCCCGCAATGGCTGATATATCTGGGTTGTATTCGAGCTTGCCGAAGTACACTAGCTCAAATGTTGTTGCTCTTCTGATGAATGCGATTAAAACTGAGACAGACCCTACAAATCAGCAGATGATGATGTGGATCATGACAGTGGCCATTCAACAGGAAGCTGCTCTGTGGACCAACGGCTTGACATCCAGCCGTAACTCACAAGTACCTTTTACCATCTTGCTGATCTGCTCAATTATCGGCAAGTCGCAAAAGTACAAACCACCGGTACTTTTTACGGCATTCGAATGCCTGCGCCACTTATCCCTGGTTTGTGATGAAGTGTTTCATCACCACGCCAATTCCGTCGTTCATTTGTTAAATGCTTGTTGTGAATTCATTAGCAACAGCGCGCCAGTGCTCCGCTCAAGATCGGCACCGTTCTACCTGGATAGCCTCATGGCGGCAGCCTATTACTGCATTATCGAGTGGATTGTAGCTGCGCCCCTTTTGCTGAGCAAGCAACAGGTAATAGCCAAAATAATCACAACCATTGTCGATGGCAATGAACGATTTCAATCGTTGACGCCCAATACCACAAACGTGGCTGTGCGAGAGGCTGCTCAGAAGCTGGTAAACATGCTGATGAAACATCATGTTTCGCCTACGGGTAATGGTTGCTCAATCGGTTTTTATTCGTCGGAGCTAACGGAGAAGGTAACGTCAGATATATACAAACGGAATAGCGGTGTGATACTGATATGTTTTCCTGCTCCTATCTTGGCACAGTCTGTGCTTTCACAGTTTTGTACAGTGAACGACTTGACTGACATTTACCGCCACTGCCGTTTTTTCTCCGTAAACAAAAATTCAATTTTGACGGCTATTGAAAAACCGACGAATGCTGCTGAGTCAGGTGAAGCGATCTTAGTGATGAGAGACTCGACAGGCTGTTATGTTTGGCGGTCCAAACATCGGCACCATGACGGATCACGCCCGAAAAGTATTTCTGACTTCAATAACTTTATTGAAAACGTTAACGACCAAAAGTTGAAGGAAACAGGATTCGATTCTGATGCCAATACCCAAGATGATAGCGACATTGAAGACGACTATGAAAGCGATAAGGAGTCAAAAGTGAAAGATCCGTTGCTCACGGCGATCCGTGACACTCATGCAAAAAATCCGATGACAAGTTGGCGTTCTTCACTTTCTGGCGGCATTATAACAGGCTCTGAAGCTAACAAAGTGTTGTCAGGCGAAGGCAACACTGGCATGAGTGTCATTGAGCGTAAGGCACAAGCTGGTCGCGACGATGCCCGTGGTAGTCGAGATGCGGTTTTTGAAAGTCTGCTTGCTTCGCAGAGTGAAGAAGACAAGCTTGCTTCCCGACCAAAGGGTTTGGCACGAGGTGATAGGTGCTTCAAGCCGCCGCCACCAATTAAGGACTTAGCATTACAAACATGGGAAATTTCTCGGAGAATGATGAGTGAATTGGGGTTCTTGTCGATAGGCAATTGGGGTGCTGTATTTGCGATGGATTCTGCTGTGGCTACCGACTTTCTTCGTGATCTTGAGACGCTTGACAAATTACCCGACCGCGAAACTTTTGACATCTCTATTGCGTACGTGTTCACTGGCACCTCCCGAGGTGGCTACGACCAAATTCACTTGGCGACTTCAACAGATGTACGCGCTGGCTACGTCGAGCTTTCTGATGACTACCGACGTTTTCTTACATCAATCGGCGAGCATGATGTCAACGACCGAACTGGAAACTCGGGATTCAATGCTGATGTTGTCAAGGGCCGGATGCTTTACTATTCCCACTACAGTCATAAGGCTTGCATTTTCGTACCTACGTTGCTGGCAGATGAAGAGCAGAACGGCGGCAGCGACAGTGACAGTGATGCTGAAGACGGAGAAGGATCGAGCGCAAGAATGCAGTTTCAACACGCCAATGTACTTATTGTTTGGAATGAGTGCCAGCAGACATACCTTCCAGGGAGTGTGTTGTGGGATGCCGCATGTAAAATGCCAATGCCGACTTCGGGTGTAGTACTGGTCATTGATCCACTCGGTAACGATCTTTACAGCGTTCACGTAAGCCACGAATTCTCACCATTATTCGCCAAACGTGACATCATTGCTAACCAGGAGGACTATGTCGATGAGTCGGACGTTTACACTAGCCGAGTGCTGGGACCATTGCTAGATGGCATGGTTGTCAATGGCGTTTGGCTAGCTCCACTTGTCCGACAAACTGCAATAAATGCCGCGATCCTTTCACGGTCCTTCCATCGCTATCAGCACAGCATCGGTGCTGTTTCGTCTGCACCTGTGGGTGCAGAAGCTAACCGCAGCAAAATCATCTCATCGTTTGTCGAAAAGCATATGCGTCCTAAGCTTCCCGGCGAATTCTACGGTGATTTGTTTGCCGACTTGACCGGTGAGAGTTAGTGTTTAATGTAGAGTCGTGCCTCGTAAAGAAAGTGGCTTAAATGCATCAGTGGTCGTGCTTTTTATATTGAGTTTGTTTCAGAGCTGGAGCTGCTGTTGCTGAAAAGCGCTATATTTAGGCAAAACCAACGGACCAAATCCAAAGCTCATTCGTGCACACTTGCAGCGACCACATCAACATCAGTAAAGAATGAAGGCTATATCTAGAAGCTCGTTCTCGTTTTCTTCCAGGTCGTCCAAAAAGCTGGTTGACCAGGAGCACGGATGTCAGCATAGTACTATTGAAGATTTAGCTGGTCACGATGATGACACTAAGAAAGAGCCAGGCATTTGTGGCACGGAATCTAGCGACAATGATTATGCACTTAACGATGCAGATCTCAATGAGCAAAAAATTGAGGGGTTTCTTGTGTTTTGCAAGCGTGTGCGCCGACAGCGCTATTGTATCTTGCAAAGCAGAACTATGCTTGTGTTTAAAAATAAACCTGGCGATTCAGCGTCGCCTGGTGTTCCTTTAAAACAGATCTATGTGGCCGGTGTCAAAGATGTCATGCAGCTTGACGCGGGCGTGCGAGTTGCGCTGATAGGAACTGGTGCACCAGGAAATTACGACAAGACTTTTGTGATTAGCTCGCACAAGTCAAAGCTGGTTGTGGTAGAAACCGGCTCCTCTGCCGAGAAGGAGCGCTGGTTGCAGACACTTTTCACAATCGATATGCCTATTTGCAAGTGCGAGAAACTTTCCTCGAAATTTATACTGCTTGATGATAACTTTGACGCCCATACGGCTGTAACGTTGCTGCACAAGCATCGCACAGACGCCGTGGCAACTGGATTAGTATTAGATCGTTTGACTTCGTATGCCGACAAAAATGTTGATGATGTCGAATTTTACATTCAGCAAATCGTTCACTTGACCGTTAATATCGAGCAGGCAGCACCAGAGAAGCTGGTAAATTTGCTGCTTTCGATATGCCGCGCAAAAGCATATGTTGAACATCTTGGAAATTGCATTCACTTAGCGCTGCAGTTGTTCTGGCTTCTGGAGGCTAAGATTGCTGACAATGACCCAAAAACGTACAACTTGTGTGCCATGCTGCTCATGTCGATCGAGGCTAAAGTTGTCAATCAACACTTCGAACTACCCAGCACGCAAACGTCGGATGATGTAACTCTACGTCTCATGGATATTCCTTTGATGAAGGAAAAGCTGGAACAAATGTCCGCTGAAATTGAAATGCGAAGTGTTGAGTCAAAGATGGAAGTATTCACCACAGGGCACGCGATGGGCGGCGTTGCCTCTCCTCTGCCAGTTGATTTAAAAGGGTATCAACCAGCGTTATTGTTGCAGTGGATGGAAAAAGAGCGTCAGAAGCGTTACAAGTACTTTCACCAGCAGCGGGACTTTGTGAAGGCACTTTCAGATATATCAGAACGTATGCGTGTCGTTGACCCTCCTCAGAACCGCAAATCATTTTTGCCCAGAGAACTGAACTCGTTGGTAGTCCCGGATATGGCATATATTCCTCTCGGTCGCGTATCAGATCCGTTCTGTCGTATCACTCGTGTGCTGACAGACGAAGGAACCGTTTTTTCTACCCATAGTCGTGCTCCGTGCTTGCTTTGTTTCGAGGTCATTGAAGACCAAGTCAATTCTGCTGGTCAGCGCAGATTCTCGGCAGACCAAAAGGAGGCTCACAAATTGTCTTCTGAATTCACGTCTGATTCAGTTCGGGCAAAATTAGAAGCCGAAGTTGCTGAGTATGTCAAGAAATTCACCATCAAGGGGCAGCTAATCTGTGTAGAAAAACGATCCGACGCCGAAAAAAATGATGACGATGACGATGAAGGTGGCCAGGGCGATAATGACATGGCCGACAGTCTTCTGACCAACCCGTCGTCAAGTGTTATTGCTCTGCATGATGCTCGAAACCTTACGTGCACAGTAAATTCAGTAGAGGCAATTGACTTAATTTCTGAGCAAAGCACAACGGGCTCGCAGCAGTATAATCTTATTCGCAGATGCTCCAAGACAGCTTATGATATGGGTCTTTCAAAACTTCTGAGTGCAACTGAGGTGTTTGGAGAGGGCTGGGAAACCAAGAAAGAGCGAATTCGCGCGTCATCCCCGTACGGACACTTACCTGGTTGGAACGTTGTCTCGCTCGTACGTAGTCGACCCTCGTTATTAAGTTTTGACTTAATAGTGAACCTTTCTTTCGTCATGTGCAGATCTCCAAGAGCAACGATGATATCCGCCAAGAAGTCTTTGCCATGCAGCTTATCACCACTTTTCAAGACATTTTCCGCGACAGTGCTCTACCGCTGTGGCTACGTCCGTATCGAATCGTGTCAACGGGCCGCACATGCGGCCTGCTAGAAACAATCACCGACGCGCACTCGTTGGACGGCCTCAAAAAGAAACGCGGTTACGCGGGTCTGTTGGCCCACTTTGAGGGAACCTACGGTACCGGCGACGCTTTTAAAAAGGCTCAGCGCAACTTTATGCACAGTCTCGCAGCATACTCCGTCGTGTGCTATCTGCTTCAGATTAAAGACCGCCATAATGGAAATATAATGCTCGATACGGAGGGGCATATCGTACACATAGACTTTGGATTTATGCTAGGCATTGCACCAGGAGGCAACTGGAGCTTTGAGACGGCACCATTTAAGCTTACGAAAGAGATGGTCGATGTGTTAGGCGGGGTGTCATCCTCATTGTTTGGCGAGTTCGTGCAGTTGGTGGCGCTAGGATTGCTAGCGGCTCAACGTCAAAATGAGCGGGTTGTGGCACTAGTTGAAATAATGATGCACAACTCGACGTTCCCGTGCTTTCAAGGACGTGATGTGTCTCGCGACCTTCAGAGGCTTCGCAGTCGCTTTATGTTACAATGCTCAAAGGAGCAAGTAGTCAAAGCAGCGGTGAAGATGATACGCAATAGTTACAAAAATAAGTGGACGAAACGCTACGATCAGTTTCAAAAAATTACAAACGGCATAATTCCTTAAAAGGTTCATCGCATACTATTTTTCCAACCTAAATCATTCATTTACCTTTCTAATCCAGTTAATCAATTATCCTGGCCGCATCTTTTTCGCAGGATTGTCGTTGTCGGTATTAGGATCATAATCAAATTGCGAGAAGCTGAGGTCTTCTATGCTGTATTGCGCGTTCGGCCGAGTCGGCTCTGCCACGGATTGCTCAACTTTCACGATTGCTGGCGCAGTCACCACGCGTGGCCTAGGTGGAGCATTCGAAGACACCCAGCGCTGCGGATGAGGAAACGGACTTAAAGTCAAGTCTGGTGTTGTAAGAGCTCCATGCCTAGCATGCAGTGTATTGCTCTTAGCCATCTGTTTTGGTGAGAGCATTTTATTAGTCACTTTGGCACTCAACTTGGTCTGAGTATGTTCCTGCATTGCTGTAGCATTAGGTTTGCACATGATTTGAGGAGGCTTCCAATGTTGTGGTCGATGCTGAGATTGTTGCTGCTGAGTCAATTGATGAGGAACCTGTGATTGCGGCTGACGACATTGTTGCTGAGGTTGCTGATTCAGTGCACGCTGTTGAGTTTGATCTTGCTGTTGTTGCTGGGGCAGTTGTTGTTGCTGGGCCTGGAAGTGTTGTGGTTGACATGATGAGATACGCGCTTCAGATTGAATACTCTCTGCAGTAGTGCTGGCCTCTTGAGTCTGCTGCTTTTGTTCTGGAATTGTTACATGTGGCGTGGCGGCTACCGGAGCCATAGGCCTGTTCGAGTTGACGTCTTTGATATGGTCTTTGTCATAGCATGAGTTACCCAGGTATTCTCCAAAAAGCCTCAATGCTCGTTTCCTTGCATCCGAAATACTTGCCTTCTTAGCTTGCTCCAACGCCGCACCCAGATCTCTCTGTCCATCTGATGTGCCAAAGCCCACATCCTCGTGACTCGTACCATCCTTAAGCTCAATGCGCACCAATGAGCTATAAGCAATACTCCACCTGTCACCCTTTTTCTCTTTCTGCAGGCATCACTCACACTCAGCAAATTACTTTTGCCACCCGTCATCTCATATTTTTCACGTACATATTCCTCTTGGCACTCGACGATACGGCATGACCAGCCATTGAAACCAAATGCGCGATTAGCCAATTCAATGGCTTTGCAACTTTCGATGTATATTAACTTGCGACCACCAGGCCCTGGCCGACGGGCTATACTATCCTTGCCCAGCTTCTGGTGCAGAAAAGCATTTACGCTCTGCTGCTCCTGGTCATCAAACGCAACGCGGCCGAAGCGCACCGCACAACTATCCGCAGATTTTTCTAATAATGCTGATGCCAATTGCGCCATAAGTGCTGACGCTGTTTGTCGCACTTCTTCAGGTTCGAACTTCACTTCCGCCATCTTGCTCAACCTTCGTTTCATGTGCAATTTTGATATTTGGTGTAACATGTGGTGTGGTAACCCAAAAATTCAAGCCCAAGACTGCAGGTAGCGGTCTCCCTCGCCTCTGCAAGGACACAGCACGATAGACACAGAATATATTGAGAGTCAAACTACCAATCTCCTATAAATCGCTAGCCTTTTCCAGCATAAATGACGTATAACCTTGATGCTATAATGTGTCAAGCAAAAAGATGTCTGCAAGCGACAGCCGGCGCGAACCCATGGAGTATAGTATGTAGCCATGAATCGATTTACCAACGATTAGACGAGTAGGATGACAGGATGAACACGGAGTATAGTTTATTGTTTGGACATGTCAAATAATTATATGACCTCGGAATCACGAGCAGTGTAAATAATGTAATCAAGGTTTCCATCAATTTTGCGACATTAAGGTGCCGAGATATGACCTTAGAAAGTAATGTACACAAATCGTACATTACTTTCTGAGGTAACATTAGTACATTACTTTCTGAGGTCATACTTACAACATTAGGTAATTGTGAAAATTATATATAAAGGAGAAGTTGGTAAGGAACATTTGTGTAACTGCGAAAATCATGAGTACCGAAGAATCGTTAGTTATAAAAACGATGGGACTAGATAAAGGAGAAATCCTTGGTCCACGTGGGTTGCTAGCCGCACGTCATGCAATGAATACACCTTTGTTACGAGCGGTTGTAATGGGGTACACATGTTGTGTGAACTACCTACTTTTCTTTGTGGTTGGCAACAACTATATATCTAGCGCTTACCACAGGGATAACTGGCTTGTGGCAGCCAAGCGTCCATAGCGACGTTACTTTTTGATTCTTCGATGTCGGCTCTTCCTATCATTGGAGTTGTATATTCCTTAATTCAGGTTTATCAGAATCTGAGGCACTTATCAGTATAGGGAAGGATTAAGGCATATTGACCATGATAAATGTCATTTTACCTTTTCCTCCTCGTTCGCGTAAATCGAGGGCTCGCTGGAAGCGAGCAACACGCGGTGAATCGTGTCAATCGATTTCAGTCTTCCTCAGGAAGTGCGTAAAATACGGATGGGCAATTCCGTTACACTTGGTAGAACTAGTATTCATTTTAACGCCGACCCTATGGATAATGTGGACACCACAGGCAGCGGTCGCTGCAGCGGGGCTGCCGTTGCTTTGCGCTTAGAGGAAGCTTAAATTAGGTCACCGACCTTACGTTCTTCCCAAGAGCCAGTTCGAGTGTAGCGGATCGCAATCCGCTACCTCCAAGAGTAGTTGAAGCCTTAAACCAAGGCAAATAAACTCTTATGTTTAAAATGTAAACTGTATTTATTTGTTTTATATGCGGCAAAGCCGCCTAATTCTAAATGTATAGATTTTCCTAAATAGATCTAATTACATGCATAACTACTGGCTACTCAGCCACGTATCGTATTCTTATTTGGGTGCAGTCACACTATGCCCGTCTTATGTGACACACACCCCTGTTATCAGGGTACGTGTAACCCTGTTTTACTCTCCCACATTTACAGTTCCAATCGATCATTGCCTCAACGAGGCTCGCGTGTCCGCTAGACACTGCAACGTGGTTCGTTGGAACAAAATGACTTCCGTGCTTAATGAGCCCTGTGTCAACGACAGTGAAGTCACCAAGTCTCGCTTGTTCTTATAGCGCACACGGGCAGAGCCCAACTTCATCTCCCGCGCGCGGTGCAATGTCGGACAGTGCGACCGCGGCATCGAGAAATGTAAATCCTAGGCTCGATGAGCGCGAGCGTCGCGCTCCGCGCACGCTATCAGTGATGAGTGACCTCGTTAAGGATGTGGAGGTGGTCGACTACGAGTCTGCCACTTCTTTTCCCGGGTAGAATGACGATGAAGGCGAGCCGTGCCGGCGGCGTGAAACGAGTCCTGCTCGCGTATTGCGGAACCCATGTCCTTTTCCTGACTTCTCGTCACCTGAAGGAACGTGGTGTAATCACCAATGACCTCGATGAGACACAGAAGCAGCAGCTGGAAGCTGCCCGTAAGGTGACTCTGATGCGCCCATCCACGGTCGGTCATTGACCCCCGTGTGGAATATGGTGGAGTATCCGCCCGGCAGATCCCGCTGTGGAAGCGAAGGGCGTGGTAATTCGATCTTTACGCCTCCACATCATCGGGCCTCCGGCCATTACGAAAGCTGGACTTGCCGAATGGAAAGCTCTTCGAGCTCGTTTTTTGACCCCACAGGAAATTCCGTTGGACGTTTATCGCACTCGTCTACGTGCTCAACGAGGTGGCTCTTGTGTACCTGCAACGCGGACGGTACCTGTAGTGCTCGCCCCTGGCGAAAGCGTTACAGATGACGAAGTGCTCTTTGAGCGATGGGTGCAACAGCACCGAAAACTTTCCTCACTGTATGTCTTACAGTTCAGCCACAAGGAGGTGGACGTGCGTGTGGAGCGCCGCCTCCGATTTGAGTTTGCCAATCTCAAAGCATGCCGTCGACTCCCTTCAGATTGTCGCCCTGCAACGTATGGGTCAACCCCTAATGATCCTGCGAGCTCTGTGTCTGTGATCACAAGAACTCAGGGCCACCGCTTGAGCTCAGCTCATGGCCCTTCTACTTCCCTGGCTATCGCCGGGAAGCATGGGGCGTCCTGATCTTTCTGATCAAAAGCGCCCACGGCGTCGGGGCAGTCTTGCCGAAGTGGCGTCTCAAACTCCCACGAGTTTTCGGAGTCGAAATATCCCCGCCACTTCACCAGATATTGGGACTGACCCTGGTGACGATGTCGTCTCACTAGACGGTTCACGTGATAGTGGACGTCACCGTTCTCATCGAGAAGAGTCGGTGGCGGGCGGTGACGACCGGATCTACCGCCATCCGGTGACTCGCGATGCTCTTCGAGCCCTTGAGGATGAGATCCTATGTGATAGGAGCTCCGCTGAGCGTCATGCTGAAGTAACATATTGCTATGCGGACGCTCTTGATGATTTGGAGCGCGTCGTGCGCCGGCTGTCTCGCCTTGAGGACTACCACGCTCTGTCAGAGCGTCTCCTAGTCGTGGAGCAGGCGAATGCGTCACTGCAGGCAACGGTGGGGTGCTTGGCTCCATCGGAGATGGAGATTGCTGACTTCCGTGCTCGGAACCAGATGCTGGTTCAGTTTCTGAGTGGCCGAGGGCCCGTGGGATCCGCTCTGGCACCAACGCTTCCGCGTTCACATGCGCCGGATCCCGATACGGCTCGAGCAAACCCACGTAGTACACCGGGTGTGTGCGCATCCGTTTTGGGAGGTTTAGCGTATACGCTAGGGCCCGCTTGGCCACAACCTTGAACGGTTCAATTAACCGTGGACGGAGCTTCGTCCGGAAGATAGCAGAGGCTGCATGTGTAGGCAGGTTTTTTTATTTAGGAAAACAGGTTCCCGACCTTAAAGCTTTCCACTTTGCCTCTTCCTTTTTCATCTGCACATTCTTTCTG